GATGAAGATTGAGGAACACAGTCTGCAGTATGGATTACATCTCAGTATAAAGAAGACAAAAATCCTCACAACTGGACCAATAAGCAGCATCACGATAAATGGAGAAAAGATTGAGGTTGTCAAAGAATTCACATTGCTTGGTTCTACATTTGAGATCAATGGAAGCAGCAGTCGGTACATTAGACGACGTGTGCACTGGGCAGGTCGGCTGTGAAGGAACTCTTTCAAGTGCTGAAGAGCAAGGATGTCTCCTTGAGGACTAAGGTGTGCCTGACACAGGCCATGATATTTCCAGTCACCTCGTATGCACTTAAGAGCTGGACAGTGAATAAGGAGGACCGAAGAAGAGTTGATGCTTTTGAATTGTGGTGCTGGCGAAGAATGCTGAAGGTACCATAGACTGCCAAAAGAACTAACAGATCTGTCCTGGAAGAAGTGCAGCCGAGATGCTCCTTGGAAGCGAGGATGGCCAGACTTCGTCTCACCTACTTTGATCATGTTGTCAGAGGGGATCATTTCCTGGAGAAGGATGTCATGCTTGGTAAGGTGGAGGGTTGACGAAAGAGGGGAAAGCCTTCGACGAGATGGATTGACACAGTGGCTGTGACAATGGGCTCAAGTACAGCAAGGATTGTGGAGCTGGTGTGGGATCGGGCGGTGTTTCATTCTGCTGTGATTGGGGTTGCTATGAGTCAGAAATGACCCGATGGCACCTAACAACAACTACCACCACCACCACCACATAGTATGACAAACTGACAGACAAGTGGTGGAAGCAAACAATAGTTTAACTTAAGTAGTAAAAAATGTCTGCTGTCAGCATTATTCTATTTTCAGAACTATCTATATGTGATTAAATTGACAACAGCAACTTTTCTTAATATGGGAGGAATAACTCAGAAAAGAAGGGTAAATATTGCACCTGGAGTGAGAATATAATCAGTATCACTAAATTGTACTTGCAGAAACTATTGAATTGGTATATGTTTCTCTGTGTATTTTCTCAACAAGACGAAATAAATAAAATTAAAAAAAGAAAGAAATGCTCAGGGACTATAAGAGTACATAAAAGAACTACTTAACACTAGGCTTCTTTATGTCCAAGAAGTTGGCAGAACAGATGTCACATAGTTAATGATCAACTGTCAACACTAATGGAGGGAGTTCTGGTCTAGTAACTTATCTAACTCCTGTTCACCAGTGTCCATTTCTGACCTATCTCTATCTAAGGGAATTTCCTTCATAGAGAGGAATCTGGAACTTTTATTCTTAGGTCTTAGGTTCCGCTCTTTGTGAGGAAATTTACCAACCTGGGCTACATTACTATATTTCACCAGATGGTTTGAACATTTCTTATGTGTGAACTTTCAAATTCTGTTATTAGTTCTCAGACAGTCTCATCATATAAGAGCAAAATTAGATTACTTAAATGAAGATAATCTGTATACTTGCATAGTCAGAGTATTCATTTTTAAATTTCAGTTGAAGAGCTTTTTTTATCATGGGACCTGGTATTTAAAGAACCTTCCTCCAGCAAAATATATTTGGTACTTTTGCATTTTAGTGTGAACAACATCAACTTTGTATATGACTAAATTCTTACTAACTTTATAGACTTAAGTATATTAACATTCCCAGTTTCCTCATCTGTAACTTTGGAATTAAAGTGTCTATTCATTCATCTACATATCTATGGGATAGTGTGAGGCTTGGCATTCATGTATGTAAAATGCCTCAGCAAAGTAGCTGACCCATGATAGGATTCAAAGTGACAGAGGGAGACAAATGCAGCTACATCACGAAGACATACTAGTTCTGAATTTATATCTGCAGCTGTGTCCTTTTTTATTTTTAAGGTTGGTTATACAGGGGAATATATAGTCTTAAAATTGAGAGGAAATAAAATCTCTCTTCTTGCTTCCCAGTTTTCTTAGGAACCATGACCAACAAGGTTGTTGTTGTTGTTGTTAAGTGCCGTCGAGTCGTTTCCGACTTATAGCGACCCCATGCACAGCAGAACGAAACACTGCCCGATCCCGCGCCAGCCCCACAATCCATGCTATACTCGAGCCCATCA